ATTGACCCATGTCACTTTAGTTTTCACTGTATATAAATTATATTTCAATAAAATACATATTAGAAAAATAAAAATACAGCAAAACAAAACAAAACAAAAGATTTATAGCCTTATAACATAGCCCAAAAAGACACTGTTCTAAGTCCTACTTTGGTAAGTAATGATTGGGGTCTTAAAGGCTTGCAAGCAGCCATCTAAGGTGCAAATATTGGTCTCTCTCATCTGGATCAAAGTGGAGCGAAGAAAATCAAAGAAGCAGGGAAACATTTAGTCCAAGGGACTAGTGAACAAGTGAACCTCAGCCTCCATGACCCTGAGACCAGAAGAACTAGATGGTACCCAGCTACCAATGCCAATCACTCTGAAAGGGATTATTACATCAGGAGATCCTGGATAGAGTAGGAGAAAACTATGGAACAAATCTCAGAATAATAAAAATAAGACAAGGCTTCTGGTCTGATAAAGACCGGTGGAAACCCCAAGACTATGGCTCATAGTCACCCTTCAAGCCTGGAACTGAAGTCACTCCTGGGAATCAACTTTCAGCTAAACCATAGATAGACCTATGAGGTGAACAGTAACACTAGGGAGGTACTATTCTTTAGAAAAATGAATTATAAGAGATCAAACGGGCAGCATTTGCCCAAGGATAAAGCTGAGAAGGCAGGAATATATAGGAAAGAAGGACAAGGGGAAATGGTAACCACAGGAAGGAAGTGAGAGTGCTATTACACTGTGGGAACTGCAATCAATGTCATGAAACACAATGTCCATGAACTGTTGAATGGGAAACCAATGTGCTCTGTAAATTTTTACCCAAATCATAATAAAAAGTAAAAAAAAAAAAAGATCTATAGCCTTAGAAACCTTACAAGGGCAGCTCTACTCTGTCCTATAGGGTCTCTATGAGTCAGAACTGACTTGACAGCAGTGCGTTTGGTTTTGGTTTTAATGTCCTTTTTATATAGGCAATGGGGAAGTAAGTCTTTTAAGGTAGGGGCTCTTCTCTAAGTTAAATAAGCTTTTCTGTTCAAGTTTTTAAGTGCTTTGTCATTTTAAATTAGACATTCTAAACTAACTAATATTGACATAACTAATTTCAATATATATGAAACTATCAGCTAAACTAATTCTCCATCTCTTTGCTTTGAAGTAGTATTTCTCTACTCTACCACTATTTAACCCATTTAATCAGTTTATTTCTTCACAAGCATGCTAGTATAGGAAGCAATGTGAAATCCTTCATTTTCTTCTTATATGAGTTCAAAATTTCTGCATGCATTTTTTCCTGAAGCCTTCATTTCCACAAGCTGACTCAGAGTCTGTGAAATAGGCAGGTGTCACATCACTAGGTAGGACAAACACAGGGACAGACAATGGGGATCCAAGGGCAGGTACCAGCTGGTGAAGAGGGGGAGGCTTGCTGGCGCTGACCTGGGCCACGAACATTCACATCCAGCACATCGACCTCCTGCTCTGCCTGAGGAGGAGTGAGCGCCAATGATGGTGTCCTACGGATATCTGCAGCTTCCAGGTGCTGCTGTGTCCATGGGCGCCGGTCGATGGGGTCATCTTCTTCCGAGAGTAAAGCCTCATCTTCACCCTGAAAATGGAAAATAATATTCCTGTCAATCTGATCCCCAACCCAAACTTGCTGACAAGGAGCCTGTTGACTACTCTACTCCCAATCACCCACTCAGTTTGGTCTCCCCTCCTAGTTCAATCCTCTAGATTATGATCCAGTTGGCTTCCCACTGCTCTTATGATATGGTTTCTGCTTATTTCTCTGCACAACTCTCCCCACTTCCCCATTCCAAACTCTAAGCTCCTGCCTTAATATGCTTAATATGTCACTTGTAGATCCTTATTTTTGCTTCTAGGCCTGTGCCCACGTTATTCCCTCTGTCTGTAATGGTCTCTCCCACTTTTTTTTTCTTTTGTTTGTTTGTTTGAGTAACTCCTATCTACCCTTCAAATTTAAATTAATACCTTACTTCTTGCTGCTGGTCCTAAAAAGCACACTTTGCTTACCTCTACCATTAACTCTGTGTTCAGTGCTTACATAGAACTACATGGCAGTCCCTACCACTAAACTGTTAAGGTTGCTGAATACAGGGAATGAGCCTTGCTCACAGTGCATCCCTGTACTTATGTTAGTGCCTAGCACATAGCAAGCCAGCATCCAAGAATATTTGTTGAATAATAATTATTATAATTTAAAAAGCAGCTACCATTTATTGAGTACTTAGCATATCATAGGAACCAGGTAATGTACTTCACACATACTGATGTATTTAATCCTCACAACCACTCACAGAGGTAAAAAATATTATTCCCATTTTATGCATAAGGATAACAAATAAGCTAAGTAACTTGCTCAGTTAGTAAGTAGCAGAGTTTTGGACGTGAATCATGTCCTGATTGTAACTAAAACAATGTTCTTAACCATCATGTGCTACTGGCTCCCAGCCATACATAGCTGGGATGGATGGTCTCCTTTTCCACACCAGCCTCAGCCCAATCTACCTCCTACTTCTGCATGGTTTTAGTTTCCTGGCCTCAAGATGTGGAGCCCCCAAACTCAGTGGTCACTGGCTTTCTTAAAGTGTTTAATTCCATCTTCTCTTCCAGAAAAGGTATGGGGGAGATGTAGCCACAAAGGAGACTGCTACTTATACTTAGCATTCCTCATTCTACTACTATCAGCATGACAATTGAGGACAGGGGCATGATTTATTATTTTTGAAGAATTCTTACTGAAAAACATACATAACCCAAAGCCATCAATGAGCTCAGGATTGCTGCCATTCATTAGAACCTGGGACAGCCACTGCCTGGGCCATAGATAAGACCACCACTCTTTCTTCTGATTCAGGATACCCTCATTACCAAAGGACAGAAATTTGAAATGTGACCAGATAAATGAATGACAGTAGTGGTGGTTCTATCACAGCCTGTTTACCTTGGCTTTCTTCGGCTGGGGTCCTTCAGCATCGACCCAATGTTCACTTGTTCCAGAACCAATTAGGTTAGCCTCTGAGACTTGCACTGACAGGTTTCTGATATTATAGGGTGAGGAGGTGGGGAGAGAAGAGCAGAAGTTATGTCATAAGCTAATACAGTTGTTTTCAATACTTTGCCCACGACGACACACTTCCATGGCTACACTCACAATGTTAGAGGCTTTGGCCTAGAGAAGATGGGTAGTAGCTTATGTGCCATTTCCTCAGCATACAGCCATTCCTACTGATCAAGAGCTTATGACAGTGTGCTTCAACACAGGAGCTGAGCAACACTGGACTAAGATGTGCAGATGAGAAGTGCTCAGACTGACTGTGATCTCACAGTCATGCACAGGGCATTCAGAGCAGGGTCCAAGTGTGATCTTGTGGCCAGAGCTTGGAATTCAAAATCATGATTCAACAAAGCCTGCTTTTAGAGTTATCACAGCTTATAATTACTGTCAATAGTGGCTTCTTGGCAAACCCTCTTACTTCAGCCCCACGGCATCCTGTCCCACTGGCTCACGGCGCTTGTGATTGCTGGATTCTCGGCGAAGGGTGAAACCTTCAGGCAGCCAGAGGGAGCCATGTTTACGCTTTCGTTTTGCCATGATTACCCCCAGCAGGATAATAAATAGGATAATGACAACAGCAACAGCAAGTAGATAGAGGAGCTGAGTGCTTTTTGGAGTCCAGGATTCACCTGAAAAGTCCAGAGAGACCGGGAAAGTGAGGAATAAATGTTAACCTCTCAATATTATGATTAAATTCACTTAGGGGGCAACTTTGACCTCACCAGCTCTGAAAAACAGAGGACCAAATCTTGAAAAAGATTTGCCCCCTCTGCCCCCAAGTGACACCTTTCCCTTCTGCCCTCTCCCTTTAACACCAGTGCCACTCACTGATGACAGATACGAGAGGATATGACAGGGTCCCCTGGATGGCGTGAGAAGCCAGCAGAGCTGCTGCTGCATCGGTATTCTTGAAGCACTGGTCTGAATCTTGAACGCATTGGCGGTTATCAATTTCCAGAAATATTTTAGAGCTATGGGATGCCAAGGAAAAAGAGGAAGAAGAGAAAGGGTGAGTACCACAGAAGGGTGCAGGTCAATAAGCTCAGTCAGATGGGTTATATGAACACTCCTTCCTCACCTTCAGGATCAGACTCTCTACCTTGGTGACACTGCTTCCAGAAAGACCTCAGAAATTAGGATCCTGTCCTTTCAGATTCTAAACACTAATTCTCATTTAGGGAGTTCTTCACTTTCCTTAGTCTGACTGATTCTAAGCCTTCTGACTTGGGCAACCTAAGACAAAGTGATAAAACTACTAAGTCTTCAGAGCTGTCCTTTCCTTTTGGTGATCTTCTTCCAACCCCTCCCCATCTGCTCACTGGCACCTGGTAGTTGTGTGGGTGCCATGGAGTCAAGTCCGACTCAGCGTGTCCACACGTGACAGAGTAGAATTGCCTCATAGGGTTTTCCAGGCTGTAAACTTATGGAAATATGGTATATATATATATATATATATATATATATATTTTTCAAATAACGCTTGCATTGTATGCTTTTTTGCAATCTACATACCCCCCTTGTGCATTAATTTCCTGTGTGCTATATGTATTTATGTGGGCAGTTATATGGGAAAAAATATAGTAGATCACCAGGTCTTTCTTCCACAGAGCCACTGGGTGGGTTCAAATCGCCAACCTTTTGGCTAGCAGCTGAGCACTTAACTGTTGCATCACTAGGGGTCCTTGGCACTTAGTACTACTCTAAAAACCTTCCCCTCCACATTTTTGGTCCTTATTCTCCTTTGTCTGTACCCATATCTTGGCTAGCTATAGGGATAAAAGTTGTGGGATATACCAATTAAAAAGTGCAGTGTGAATGACAGATAATAGACGATTATTATCTTGTCAAAGAGACTTTTATCATAATTGAAAGGCTCTGAAAAGAAGGCAGTGCTTCATACAAAGAGGAGTTACTAATAGGGTGATTTAAGGCAGCTCTGGTGAAGGGTAGGGACTTTAGCATTCAAAGAGGCCATCCTGAAATCTTGCCTCCTGCTTACTCCAAGATCCCAAAGTCAACACAACTCTTTACCCTTAAATCGAAGAACTGGGGTAATGGATTTGCTCTACTGGGTGAGTGATTTTCTGTCTGAGGTCCGTGGTTTTATAGGCTGAGTTATGACTTCTGCTGCGTATCAAAGTGCTCAGGTTTATGAAATGAAACTTTAAGAAGTTCAGAAACCAAAAACCTACCCAGCCACCTCCTGCTCTTGTTCAACAGGAAGGGACCTACGTGTCATCCTCTGTTTCTTCATGGCAGCTGACTTTTCTCCATAATAGGGGTATACCATGAGGACCCCCTGGGGGTCCCGTTTAATGCGCAGGTTGGTATGGAGCAGGGTGCCCAGTGCCCGCAAGAAGCTGCGAGCATCCTGGAGCAGCTGTTCAGGTGGCATCAGCACCACAATGACCAGAGTTCCTTCTGCCAGGTTCTCCGGCTGGTCAGCAGCACAGTCCAGGCCATCCCAGCCACACTCTTCACTATTGCATCCCTGGTCACAATGGTTGTCTTTGTAGTGGTCTGCACAGTATTTGTCATACCTGGGCAGGGAAAGCCAAAGGAAGAAAAGAAAAGGGAGAGGGACTCAGACCAGCCTGGAGCTCTATTTGCTTTTCCACCTGCAACTACCAAGGATTTTCCAACATATCAGGTCAGGCCCCAGATGCCCGATAGCATCTTCCTTGAATTCTACTATCTCTAACATCTTAGAGTATGTGTATCAATGACATCAATGAGTACTTCCTGAATGAGAAACAACACATTATGCTCACTAGGCTACATGGACTTACAGACTCTCAGAGCATTGTAATCTTAAAATTTTTGAAAAAAAGCTGTATATGTGAAATGAAAAATCAACCCAGTTTGTGCTTCCTCTATTTTTGTATCCACTGCCTCTGGTGAGGTATCAATGGACTTTAGGAAGTAAACAGTGCCTCTAGAAACTGGAGCCATAGACCTGAACCACCAAAAGTTGTGATATAGAGGACTATATAATTACGGTCCATTCTTCCCGTCAGAACTGAATCCCAACTATGAAAGGAAGGGGGAAGCGTATGCTCCATTCAGGATACTAGATCTACCTTGTACTACCTTGTACGATTTCTTCTAGTTTATTTACCAAGATCAAATAGTGGGAAATGAAATTTGAGGCCAAGATCTAAATGCTACACATGCTACTTCTGCTATATGCTCATCTCCTTGCACCCTCCCTCTATATTTACACAAGTTGGTACAACTTGCCATCCTAGCTCATTGGAAAGATCAAGAGTCAGGAAGAGCTTGTACATACTTTGGAGAGTTCTTTAACCACCCCAGGTGTCTGTTCCCTCCCACTGAAAGAACACTAATACTCTCTGTGGCTTACAAAGTTGTTCAGAATTAACTGAGGTAAATGAATGTTAGATATGAAAGGTACTGTGTAAACCATAAAGCACCATAAAAGTGCCTAACAACTGCATCAATGAGGACCAGGAGGATTAAGTGGACTTATTTAGCTTATGCTTCCTGTGATGGGGAAAACCAGTCTTAAGGAATAGAATGGGGTGAAAAGGGAGAGGTACAGACCTTTCCATCCATCCTGTAGGCAGGTTATGTGAGAGGCTGCCTGGGAGTGGGCAACACCACTTTCAAAAGTTATTTCCCCCAGGAGGTCACGAGAGCAGCAGGTGAGAAGGCAGAGAAAGGCAGAGAGAGAGGGTGATTGTGCAGTGAGCACTCCTGGGCCTCTGTCAGCAGGGAGAACACACAGTTGGTGTGCGATGGGTCAAGGCTGACGCCCAGGAACAGAGGGCTTCGGGGCACAAGTCTGGAAAGCAGAGGCAGCTTGGGCTGAAGCACTGGAGTGGTTAGGAGCAAGAACAAGAGACTGAGTTGTGTTAGTGACAGTTCCTCTCAGCTTCTGGGAACCTGGAGCTCTTACTTGCATGTCTTGCTGTTCCTCTGGCATTCAAAGTTGTCAAAGAGGCACTCAGCTGTGTTGCACAGCTCATCACACTGGTTATTGATGTAATCCCAGCAGGGAAGTGGGGAGGAGCAGTTGGCCCAGGGGTTCTCCATGGTGAGGGAGCAGTCGCCCCCATCCCACTGGCAGGCATGGCTGTTGCAGGCCTCATCACAGACACCATCCCGGGCTTTGTCAGCACAATACTGGCTGAGACAGGTAGCAGGAGGCATGCTGGTGGGGGCTGTGTAGAGTTCACAGTGGCTGCCCCAGAATGGGGAAATGCACTTGCAAGAGTAATAAGGAGGCTGGTGCTGAGGATAGCAGGTACCTCCATGCTGGCAGGGGCTGCTAGTACATCCTGGCTCACAGTCTTGGGGATTGGGGCAGAAGCAGCGGGGTCCTGAGGCAGTATGCATACACTGCTCCCCTCTCCTACACTTCACTTGTCCACAGCTGCTCTGGCATCTTGCCCCAGAGAATCCCTGTGGAAATTGGTGAAGAGATGAGGAAGGCATGACAACTCTTGAGGGCTTGCCCATTTTCCCCTCCCCAAACCCTCTCCTGCCACACCTCTAGGGAGATAAGCACAGACTCATCACTAAGATCCCTTCATGTAGCTTCCTGGGCCAAGTTCCAACAAAAAGAACTCTTCAAGTCAACCTATAGAGTGGAAGGTTCCATCTGATGAATGCAGAGTTCTCTCAAACAGTGCACTTCCAGAAATTAAGTCCACAGGTCACAGTAGATGAGAGTCACGTGATATTTTATCTATATGTACTTTCTCTAACTGTCACTATTACATCAGTCAGATGATGACTTTATAGGGAAATAAATCACTTTGGAATTTCAGGTATCTGAAAAATTTTCATGTCTCATTTCATTCTTATACTTCCTTCTTAACCCAAGCCAAGATTACTGGAAAGAGTTTCTTTTGGTATCTCTCTATACATCGTAATCTCCATTTTAGGGAGGTTTCAGCCTCTGACAGAGGTAAAACACTGTGTAGACCTGAACCACATGGATGCACAAGGATAGAAGTAGGCTTGTTCTAGTATAAGAAGCAGTTTGCTCCCAAATGATTCCTGCCAAAGAGTTTAAATAGCGTTTCCAACCAGTTCTGGCCCAATCTGGGCAGCAAGACTGCTTTCCAGCAGGGACTGAGAAAGCCAGACACCAGCCTGTTTTCAAGGGAATGCTTCACTACTTCCTGTAATTTCTTTTTCCCTTGGTGCTTCTAGTAACTGACAGTCACTGATTAGGGAGCTACTCTTTCTGGGACAGATGAAACAGCATTAAGTGGAACACACTGAGTACTTTCTTCTGCAGGATCTAAAACGGAGAGATCTCCCCATTACGGGGTGTGCAAAAACTACACAAAACTGAGCTCAAGCTTAGCTTCAACACAGATTGTACAAGAGAGAATATATTCCTTAAATCATCAACAGGGCACTTACCGGGGGACAACGACAAATGAAACCATCAGGCATGTTGCTAGCCACAGCACAAGTCCCTCCATTGAGGCAAGGCATCTGGGGACACACATCCACGAAGGTTTCACAGTGACGGCCTCAAGGCAGAAAAGGAAAAAGAGGTTTTTAAAGGCAGAAGTAGTAATGGCAAGTTAACTGGACAGAACACTGCTGGCATGTGAGTTAGCCAGAGGATTAGAGTTGGAGCAGGAGATACATGAGATTTCAGTTCTAACCCTATGGGAACATGAGAAGACAAATAAAACACTCAAGCTCAAGATTACTGGCCCCACCACTGGCTCAGTTCCCTTACCTCTCTGGCCTACACAATAAAACACATGTGATATATACCCTGAAAATTTCATGTAACAGGATGGATACAAAAAGTGACCCTGATCTAATCACACACACACACACGCACATAGACACACACTCCTACCTACGAAAGAGAAATGAAACCTCAGTTTTTTGAAGGTACTTTAGCTTTTGTAAGTCAAAATAAACATTTAAGAAAATCATTCACTACATTTTGCTAGCATTATCTACTTCATAGATGGGGCTATTCTAGGCCAATATAGCTATATGGTTTGCAGAAAATTGTCATCTATGACACCTCTTCTCAACCATTCCTTGGCTTCTCTATAACCTGACTATTTTAAAATATAGCTCAGTTTCCCCAGAGTTAATTTTCTCCAGACACAGTTCTGAAATAGAAGGCATCTGTAGGTTGTTGGTATGTGATGAAGTAAACCAAACAACTGAAAATATGGAGATGTTGTAGCACAGCAGAGCCTCTTGGCAAACAGTGGACTGCAGTCAGTTAGAAGGTAAGAGGTGACTGTTATCCATTGAACTGTGTGCCTTCAAAAGAGACTTCATACTGCTAACTCCTGGTAACTGTAAATGTGGCCTTGCTTGGAAATAAAGTCTCTGAAGATGTTATCAGCTAGGTCAGTGTGAGGTCCTCCTAGAGTAGGGTGGTTCCTAGTCCAATCTGAGTTGTGCCCATATGAAAAGAGAAGAGACAAAGAGACACAGAGACCATGTGAAGCAGAGACTAATGCCAAGCTTGGCACCAGGAACCACTAGAAGCTGGAAGAGGTGAGGAAAGATTTTCTATAGGGCCTTTTAAGACACCTTAATTTTGGACTTCTAGCCTACAGAACTGAGAGACAGTACATTTGTGTTGTTTTAAGCCACCAGTTTGTAATAATTTGTTACAGCAAATTACCTAGAAAACTAATACAGTGGCTTTAAACAATTAATTAGTATTTTTATGCCAATCAGAATTCAGAGGCAACAGGTACAATGTTTGTCTCTTCAAATCACAGCAGCAGCTAGCAACCAACAGCAGCCATCACACGGAGACAGCGCAGCTCACCGGACCAATGGCCCCTCACAGTGACTTCAGCATTCCATAATACCTACAGGATCACTTGTTACGCTCATGCTCAGAAAACAAGACTTTTTTTGTTTTTCCCTATTGTGTGGAAAGTGCACAAACACCACTGCCTGGCTGTGGTGTACTAATTGGAAGTAGTCTTCATTCGTCCCTCTCCTGTTTTTCCCTGTGTGTTTGTCAGTGTTTCTAGATAAAGGGGCCTTAGGGGCACGAGAGGAAAAGCGCCAGCTTTTAACCATATCTGAGGTTAATATGAGGCTGGTCATTCTCTTCCTGTTGTGCATGTGATGCTCATAATGGATTCTTTCCCTTTTTATATTATTGCATCCAGGCAGCTTCCATACCACAAAATCTCCCCCTCTCTGAAAAATTCTAAGGTTTTCAAAAGTAGTATTAACTTTGAAATTGGAAGAAAGGAAAATGGACTTGGGATGTAGCAGACTCCATCTTGCCAACTTATTATTAAACAGACCATTACAGCTCATTTCCTGACTCCCTAGGAACCTGATAACATCCTCAGTATAAGAGATACTGCTGAAGTACAAGCTTTGGAATGCTTCCAGAAAACACAAGATTCCAAATCTGAGTATTTGATGATACTCCCCTATCTAGATACAAACAACTATTTTGGTCCCAGCATGTCACCAACCTGCCCCTCTCCAGAGTCTCTGTGCTCTGTGATGAAATAAGAACCCTGAGAAAAAAACAGGAGCAAAGCCAAATCTAGGCTGTGCAGACAACACCTGTGACTACTGCAGTTTTCTAGCATAAGCTCCCACCAAGTGAATTTCAGGTAAACACACACCTATTTGGATCTACCCAAAAACCAAACCCACTACCACAGAGTTAAGTCTGACTCATAGTGACCCTAAAGGACAGAGTAGAATTGCCCCACAGGGTTTCTAAGGTTGTATATCATTAGAGAAGTAGACTGCTTCCATCTTTCTCCTGCAGAGTAGCTCATGGGTTCGAACCATTGACCTCTTTGTTAGCAGCTGAATACTTTAACCAGAGCACTACCAGAATGAATGAATGTACTATCAGAGCTCCTTATCTGGACCTTCTCTACTTTAATATTCTAGAAGGTGCTAAGTTTCCATGGGATCCATAGGTAGAAAGAAGGGCAATGAAACCAGGGTTAGATGTAAGGTTCCTGAAAACAGAACATAATTGGGCTCAACTACTCCCAACTTCCTACCATTTTTATTCCTACAATGGCATGATATAATCTATGTCTACAAAAGGGAAGGCATCTCTCAGAAAAAGTAAAAGGGAGAGACCGATTACAACACAGCATAGAGCTCAGACTTTGGAAAAAATGGCCTTTAAATTAAGCTGGTCTTATTTTTCATATCTAAGAAATGCTTCATTTAAGTCTGAGACAAGTCATGCATAGTCCAACCTCCTCACTAATATCTCCCTCAAAGGAAGGAGGCCTGCCTGGGCGGCTAGAGAGGTTCTCACCAGTGAAGGCACTGCGGCAGACGCACAGGTAGTCATTGGTAAGCTGTATGCAGTCCAGGCTGCCCTCAGAGCCGCAGGGGTTTGAGAGGCACTCATTGATGTCCCCCTCACACCGTTCACCAGCAAAGCCAGGCAAGCAGCGACAAGTGTAGCCCCCAATCTTATCCACACACTGACCACCATTAAGGCAGTGGGGACCCCCAGCGCAGTCATCGATGTTCTCTTCACAAAGCAGGCCTGGAGGAAAGAGAGAAGAGAGACAGAATGATGAAAACCCTTGCCACTGCTTCCCAGCATGGGAAAACTACTGCTGTTGTCACTTCCACAACTAAAGGTTATACTCTTCAGTCTCATTGTGTGCCACTGAGCTGATTCCAACTCATAGAGACCCTACAGCAACCCTATAGGGCAGAGAAGAACTGTCCTATGGGAATTCTAAGGTTGTAATATTTATGGAAGCAGACTACCATATCTTTCTCCTGTGGACTGGGTGGTGGCTTTGAACTGCCAACTTTTCGGTTAGCAGCCAAGCACTTAACCACTGTGCTACTGGGGCTGGCTCCTTTCTCAATATGTAGGGGGACCTTTTAGGTTGAATAGGGAAAAGCATACTCTTGTTCCATGACATCTGCCATCATCCCAGTGAGCAATATGAGCAAAGGAAAGAGTTTGCTTAGGGCTTCACATGTATTATCCCACAATCCAATGCAGTAGTTACTCTATGGAATAGGCACTATTATTTGCCCCATGTAAAGACAAGGAAACTGGGCTCAAGAGAGACCAAGTAAATTTTCATTAATTAAAAAAAAAATAAAGTTCAAAAGAGAATGTAACTTAGTAAACACATAGATTATACCAATGTAAAAATATTGATAAACACTGGAACTTAAATTATGAGTGATGTATCCTTTTTAAGTTTTATAATCATTGGCTTTTTTCTGTAAAATAGTGTGAGTACACTATTGCCTTTATTTGAAAAAAGAGAGGGGGAAATATCCTGCTGAAAGTTCAAAGGTTAATTCCATTCAAAACAGAAGTCATTTGATGTACTGTGGAGATAATGAGCCAAGGGGCCTGATGACGAGTATTACTCCATGATAAATTCTAAAAAGTTACAGAAGAAAAGAAAACAACTCTGTATTCCTACTATTCCCATTTGTAGCATACACTAATGTAAGCAAAGCTATTAAAAAGAAAAATAAATGTAAACAAAAGCCTCATTTTCAACAGCAATAACTAAAGATAAAATACCTAGGAAAATGTGCTACACCTACATGCAGACAGCTTTAAACAGTGCTGAATGACACCAAAGGAGGCGTGAATAAATGAAAAGACACACCATGATTAGATTAAGAAACTCTTCATCATACAGATGTCAGTTCTCTGTATGCTAATTCATAAAGTTAATGTGATCCCAATGAAAAATACCAAAATACACCTTGGGGACTTAGAATTTGATAAAGATGCCATCTTAAGTCATTGGCTATAAAGGTCAAATAGTCAATAAGTTGTGTTGGGATGCCAGTACTCTGTTACTCAGAAAATATGAGCTAATTAATTGCTTTATAATCCTGGAGTGTAGAAAGTGTTGCTAACAAGGATTCAAAATCTAGAAGCCATAAACAGACTGATAAAGTCAACCTCGTTTGGGGTTAAAAAAAAAAAAAAAAAAAAAAGCTTCTGTGTGGAAATGGTTTGATTTATCAGAATTAACAGAGAGAAAACTAAATGCTTAGAATGCAGCTAGTCTTACTGTCTTTCAATTTTTAAACACTTTTCAACATAAGCATGGGCTTGTGAGTTACAGAATACCCTGGACTGGGGACAGGTGAGGCACATTTCATACCCCGAGTGCCTGGAGGGCAGGAGCACTTGAAATGGTTCACAAGGTCAATACAGGTGCCTCCGTTCTGGCATGGCTGGTTCTGGCACTCATCCACTTCATACTCACAGTTGACACCCTGATATCCTGGAACACACTGCCAGGAGGAAGCAGAAAGGGCATGGAATATTGGACCAGTGTTAGAAACAGCACTAGAGCAAGGGAGAACCAGACCTTCCTGTGAAACACGCCCCCTCCCAAGTTCCTGTACGTTTCCCTGGAGTTATCACAGTCCCCGCGACTCATTCTGTGCAGCATCAGCCAGCAGCTTGTCAGCATTTACCTATTCTCTTCCAGCTGAAGAAGTCACTTTAAAGGAAGGAAAGGACTGAACATTCTGAGGGATATTTCAGATATGACCTTTGCCCAAAACTTTTGTCTTCCCATTAGCAGGCTTCCTCATTAAAAAAAAACAAAAAAACATGCAACTTCTTTGTATGTGATGAGGAACCAGCTCAAATATGGTGCGTGTGATTGGTAGTAAAGAGGTTGTACTTCCTGAACTCCAAAAAACCAAACAAAACCCACTGCCATTGAGTCAATTCTGACTCAGAGAGACCCTATCAACAGAGTAGAACTGTCCTATAGGGCACCCAAGGCTTTAAATTTTTACAGAAGCAGATTGCCTCATCTTTTTTTGCAGAGCAGCTGGTGGGTTTGAACCAGCTTTCTGATCAGCAGTACAATAGTTTAACCACAGCCCCACCAGAACTCCTTTCTCAAGCTCCAGGTTCAGAAAATTGTGTGCACACATGAGACACGGGTTGGGCTAGAGGCGGGGGCAGGGGGAGGTGGGCTGGCTGGCTGTGATATAGAAGTTAAGTTTTTCTCAGTGTTGCTTGGTGCCCTTAATTAGTACCAAATTCATGTCTCTGGAGGTTTGTTAATGTCATGCTCTAATCATTATCTGAACATTAAAAAGACTGATATATAAGTCGCTCAAAGGACCCATACTCACTGCCATCCATTTAATTCCGACTCATAGTGACCCTATAGAACAGTTTCCAAGTCTGTAAATCTTCCTCCCGGTGGTGGGTTTAAACGGCTGATCTTTCAGTTAGCAGTTGAGTGCTTAACCATCTGCACCACCAGGCTCCACTCAAAAGGCCCATACTTCCTCAAATATACACACACAACACTTAACCATGGTGCTAGCAGAATAGGTGAGCAATATTTTTGTTGAAAGAATTATTAGATGATTGATCAATTTGCATACAAAGGTGGCATGGGTTAAAGAAACAGTCCTCAAAGTGGCTACATATTCCTACCTCAGCAGCTATTCAGGGAAGCACCAGGGGCCATTGGTCTGGGGGCCCTGTGGAACTCACTCAGTAACGAATGCTGGCTTTGAATCCTAGAAGCAACCCTCTTGGGGATGAGATGGTTCCAGACCTCTATAAAAACACCTTACCAGAACTCTGCTATATTAACTTATTTCACAGGGAGGTAGTTCAGAAACAGTGATTGGTAAATACTATAAGAGTGATTGATAAAAATCTGAAAAGCATAGAAATAAGACATTAGAAATTAAACTCAATATACCAAGTATTCCTAGCAGATGCACAACCTTCTAGGAGCTCTGTGGGGTGTGTGCCTTTCATCTGGCTCACCTCGCATCGGTATCCACCAAGGAAGTCATTGCATGTGGCTCCGTGCTGGCAGGGATTGGACCCACACTCATCCAGCTGTTCCTCACAGTAGCTCCCGGTGTAGCCCATGGGGCACTGGCAGTGATGTGTGTTGCCAGCACTGATACAGATCCCAGAGTGCTGGCACAGGTGGTCGACAGGCACTCCTGGAAACCCGGGGGGGGGTGGGGGAAGGCACATGGCACACATCAGGGTCAGACCAAGTAACGAGGAAACTAATTTAGGTCAGTCAACATGTCAAATTTTATTCTCTTCTAGATCACAAGCCTCAGTACCAGATTTTTGTTCAAAATAAATCCTGAAAGTGGAATACATGTTACTTTCAATCCAAATATAATTTTGTTTTGGAATCACTAAACCTGGCCAAACATGGTCCTCTGCCCTTTGACCTTCTGTCTCAGGCCCTTTTTCCAGAGCATTGCCCATTACTACTATCTTGTTGCCCATTCACTACTATCTTACCCCACAGTAATGATCCTCACTCTAAAACAGTGCTGGTCTGTCAATACTTGAGTGAATGACCCTCAAGCCTACGAGCACAGAGCTCACCTCTGCGGGAGGCTGCCACCTCACAGGAGACCCTGGGCACGTCACAGTAGGCACCAGCCCATCCCAGGGGACACAGGCACCGGAACTGTGCTCTGTCCTGAACGCAGGTACCTTTGTTTTTACATGGAGACTGGCTGCAGAGGTTCACCAGGGACTAGAAGAGAGGCAGAGTATATATACATCAAAATCCAAGTACCAAAAATGAAGAAAATAAGTTACATTGTGCAACAAGGAATGAAAGGAAAGTACACTAATTAACCAAATTAAAAAGAAAGGAAGAAAGAAAAAAGCTCTCACCCAAGTCTTAAACCAGTTCTAGTGTTCCCAGGTACAGTCAGTGCTTTTTCCATTTGCTGTGAGTTGACTGTGACCCATGGTAACCCCATGTGTCTCAGAGGGTGTACTCCAAAGGTTTTTCAAGGCTGTGACCTTTTAAAGGCAGATCACTAGGCCTGTTTTCAGAGTTGCTTCTGGGTGGGTTTGAATCACCAACCTTTGGGTTGGCATCCAAACACTTACTTGTTTTTTACATAGTCTAATCCTTCTCACTTCTGCTATTTAAAAAGCTCTTACCACAGAAGTTTAATAGTTGAGGGAACCCAAAAAGTTAAGTGATTCCTATGCTCTGGACATGATTATGTCCAGATTCATGACATCCTTGTGAGGCTAGAGAAAGAATGAGTGGGAACTGTCAGGCAGGTCCACAAGTCTCCCTCTAATCCTGTGAGAGATTCACAGGGGTCTTGTCTTGACCAAATCTGTCTGTGATATAAATACAGATAAAATAACTTAAAGACTGCTTGATAAACTTGAGTCTATCAGAAGCTTATTTTGAAGGGGAGAAAATCAGGCTTATGAAAAAGATAAAGCAAAGAGTGATAGGGGACTAGCACCTATCTCCTTTGTGATTGGTAGGTGATGGCTCGGCCCCTTGGGGAAAGGAGACCACACTTCACACTTACAGCAGAGGCTATGGTAAAAGAAGAAGCCAGAGGGTGGAGGCAGAGTGCTCTGCCAGCACCTCTTACCTCACCCTGTGAGAATGGGCAGGAGCCCAAAGAATGTTCTCCTGATGCACAGAATCATCAATAAGCTGTTTAATACACAGAGGTGACTGTTTTCACGTCCAGTGTAACCAAAGCCTTACTGAAGTGCACTCTGTAGCCAAGTTTGGCCATATATTCCTAAATTCCATTCTTGTTAAAAGAGGTACTTCACCCCTAGGGATGTTGTTAATTTTTTCATGAAATGAAAGGCTGGACTAGTTGGCTACGAGGGCTCCTGCTGAACCTAAGATGCTATAAAATGTTTATTTATATATTTTGAATTAAAAAGATCTATGAATAGTTTGATTTTGAGACTGTTACATTGTCATCCCCTAAAAATGTTGCCATCTGTTCTTTAAAGAGTATCTTTGTTTTTCTTTATTTCTCTGTGTTCCCAATATAAAAATATTCTTATTTCCCATGCTTATTTTCTGCTATTCTTGGTAAGCTTCTTATTAACAATGTTACTTATGTTTGGTAATCTATATAATCTTGTCAATGTCACCATTTTGGAATCTACCAACTAGTAAGAAGTTAACCCTGAGATTAGAAATTTTTCTTTTAGGAGGACCAGATTCTGTCTGGAGAAAGAATGAATTTAAGACTCAGGTACTGTGAGGGAACTGAATGAATAGAATGGAAATTACCTGACAATTTTTCCCAGTGTAGCCCAAGGGACAGGTGCAGCGGTAGGTACCCAGGCCATCAACACACGTTCCCTCATTTAGGCATGGGTGAGAGTTGCATTCATTGATCTCATGGAGGCAGAAGGGGCCAGTGAAGCCCATAGGGCACAGGCAGGAGAAGGAGTTAATCCCATCGAGGCATGTGCCACCATTGAAACAGGAGCTAAGATGCAAACATGAGAGCAACATCAGCTTTGTGACCCGGTTGCTTGGACCTCACCATTTGAAAAAAGGTTTCTGGGATCCAAGATATTACAATCCAAAACCAAACTCACTGCCGTTGAGTCGATCCTGACTCACAGTGACCCCTCCTTGGGTTTCTGAGGTGGTATCTCTATGGAAGTAGATTGCCCAATCTTCCTTCCGAGGAGTGGCTGGTGGGTTTGAACCGCCAGCCTTCTGGTTAGCAGTCAAATGCCTTAGGCACTATGCCACCAGAGCTCCCTAAGATGTTATGGAGGCAAAAAACAAAAACAAAAGCCTCAAACCAAACTCACTAGCCATAAGTCAACTGTGACTCATAGCGACCCCCACTGGGTTTCCAAGGCTGTAATCTTAATGGAAGCAGACAGCTTCAACTTTGTTCCATGGAGCAGCTGGTAGGTTTGAATCACCAACCTTCTGGTTAGCAACCAAATGCCTGAACCACCACCACACTACCAGAGCTCCTTCACAGAGCCAAAAGCCCTATATAAAAATACCCCAAGCACCCCTACTTCCAATGGGCTTAGAAGTATTAAAAGGCTGAGCTCACTAGAGAGTCCGAGAGAAGGGAAAGTTTCTCAGTCCTTCTGTGGTTTTCCACATATCACACTTCATTTTTTCCCTAAATCAATATAACTTACATGAAAAATGTTAAATATCCCTTAACTCTAGATTTCTTCATGAAGGAGAAACAGAACAAACTTGTTGATAAAAACAAAATAACAAACCTCCCATAAATTAGTTAGAAAGCAGTTGTCAAGTCTGCAAAGATACAGAAAATTCTGGACCAAATGTCAACTGCAATGACCAGGAAGCCATGCGGAGAATGGAAGAGGATTATAGCTCTCTGTTCTCTGAGCAAGAAATAAATGATGATCCTCACCATGAAACTTTTCAACATCTGACCTTTGGGGACTGGGCAGTGGGAGGCGGCTGTGGATGTGGAACCAGAGAGGATGCTTCACCCTTGCCCATCCCAGCACTGCACTCTCCTTCTTCCTTTTTCTCTTCACAAGTGTCTGGGTGGCTTACCTCTCCGTGCACTCATCAATGTTGTTCTCACAGTGGACTCCATCAAATCCCGCCTGACATTTGCAGGTGTAACTACTGACGTAGTCCGAGCAGGTCCCTCCATTCTTACAGGGTTCACTCAGACACTCATCCATGTCCGTCTGGCACCTATCTCCAATGAATCCCGGAAGGCAGAGGCAGGAAAAAGTATTGACTCCATCCACACAGGAACCTCCATTCTGACAAGGATCTAAGACATTGCACACAAGAATTAGAGATCTGAACAGCAGTATCAACTTCATTTAGACTCAGAAAGGTGAGTGACTTGAACTAAGTCTCACGAAGGGCAGTAATGATTCTGACTTTTCCCATAGTTCTCCCATTTGCGATAATGAATGCAATAACATCTGCTTGTTTGGTAATTGCTTGGTAACAAGGACAAACTTTGCCTACACCTCCACTAACAGTATAAAATATTAAGGGTTATAAAAATTATACTGTTGTTGTTGTTATTAGGTGCTGTTGAGTCGCCTCCAACTCCTATTGACCAGCAGAACGAAAACACTGCCCAGTCCCGCGCCACTTCCACAATCCTTGTTATACTTGAGCCCACTGCTGCAGCCAGTGTCAGACCGTGTTGTTGAGGGCCTTCCCCTCTTTCTTCCACCCTCCACCTTACCAAGCATGATATCCTTCTTCAGGGAATGGTCTTTTCTGACAACATGACCAAAGTAGGTGAGACAAAGTCTGGCCATTCTTGCTTCCAAGGAGCATTCGGCTGTCATTCTGTTTCCAAGGAGCATTTCAGCTGCACTTCCTCCAGGACAGACTTGTTAGTTCTTTTAGCAGTCCATGGTACTTTCAGCATTCTTTGTCAGCACCACAACTCAAAAGCATCAATTCTTCTTTGGTCTTCCTTATTCACTGTCCAGCTCTCACATGCATATGTTGTTGTTGTTATTTATGTGCCATCGAGTCGGACCCAACTCATAGTGACCCCTCTTGGGTTTCTGAGGCGGTATCACTACAGAATTAGATTGCCCAACCTTCTTTCTGAGGAGTGGCTGGTGGGTTTGAACCGCCAGCCTTCTGGTTAGCAGTCAAATGCCTTAGGCACTATGCTACCAGAGCTCCTATGAGGTGACTGAAAATACCACAGCTTGTGTCAGACGTACCTTAGTCCTCAAGGAGACATCTTTGCTCTTCAGCACTTGAAGGAGGTCCTTTGCAGCCGATTTGCACAACGCTATATGTCATCTGATGTCCTGATCACTGCTTCCATTGGCATTGATCATAGAACCAAGCAATGTGAAGTCTGACAACTTCAATCTTTTCTCCATTTATCATTATGCTGCTTATAGGTCCAGTCGTGAGGATTTTTATTTTCTTTATATTGAGATGTAATCCATACTGCAGACTATTCTACAATCTTCATCAGTAAATGCTTCAAGTCATCTTCACTCTCAACAAAGTTGTGTTGTCAGTGTAACACAAGTTATTAATGATTCTTTTTCCAATCCTGATGCTACATCCTTCTTTACATAGTTCAGCCTCTCAGATTATTTGCTTGGCATACAGATTGAATAAGTATGGTGACAGGCTACAACCCTGACACACTCCCTTCTTGATTTTAAACCATGCAATGTCCCCTTGTTCTGTTCAAACGACAGCCTTCTGGTCTATGCACAGGTTCCTCATGAGCATAATTAAGTGTTCTGGAATTCCCATTTTCTCAATGTTATCCATAATTTGGTATGATCCACACAATCAGATGCCTTTGCATAGCCCATAAACAAGTAAATATCTTTCTGGTATTCTTTGCTTACAGCCAAGATCCATCTGACATCAGCAATGATATCCTGCATTCCATATCCTCTTCTGAATCCAGCTTGTACTTCTGGAAGTTCTCTGTCAATACAGTGCTGCAAACATTTTTGAATTACCTTCAGTAAGATTTTACTTGCATGTGATATTAATGATACTGTTTGATAATTTGCACATTCTGTGGGATCACCTTTCTTTGGAATGGGTACAATATGGATCTCTTCCAGTCAGTTGACCAGCTAGCTGTATTCCAAATCTCTTGACATAGACAACTGAGTGCCTCCAGTGGGGCATCTGTTTGTTGAAACATCTCAATGGGTGTTCTGTCAATTCCTGAAGCCTTGTTCTGTGCCAATTCCTTCAGTGCAGCTTCGACTTCTTCCTTCAATAACATTAGTTCTTGATCATATGCTACCTCCTGAAATGGATGAAGACTGACCAGTTCTTTTTGGTACAGTGACTGTGTACTCCTCCCAGCTTCTTTTGATGTTCCCTGCATCATTCAATATTTTGTCCATAGAATTTTTCAATATTGCAACTTCAGGCTTAAATTTTTTCCTCAGTTCTTTCAGCTTGAGAAATGCTGAGTGTGTTCTACCTTTTTGGTTTTCTAACTCTAGGTCTTTGCACATTTCATTGTAGTAATTGGCTTTGTCTGCTTGAGCTGCCCTTTGAAATCTCCTGTTCAGTTCTCTTATCTTGTCATTTTTCCATTTGCTTTAGCTACTCTCCACTCGAGGGCAAGTTTCAGTCTCTTCTGACATCCATTTTGGTCTTTTCTTCCTTTCCTGTCTTTTTAATGACCTCTTGCTTTCTTCATGGAAGATGTTCTTGATGTCATCCCACAATTCTTCTGGCTTTCAGTCATTGGTATTCAGTGCATCAAATCTATTCTTTATATGGCCTCTAAATTCAGGAGGGATATATTCAAGATCATACTTTGGCTCTTGTGGACTTGTTTTAATTGTCTTCAACTTCAAGTTGAACTTGTGTATGAGCAGTTGATGGTCTGTTCCACAAGCAGCTCCTGGCCTGGTTTTGGCTGAAGATATTGAGGTTTTCCATCGCCTCTCGCCACAGATGTAGTCAGTCTGATTCTTGTGTGTTCCATCTGGTGAAATCTATGTATACAGCTGCCATGTGTGTTGCTGAAACAAGGTATCTGCAATGAATAAGTCATTGGTCTTGCAAAATTCTATCATGTGATCTCCAGTATTATCTCTGTCACTAAGGGCAGATTTTCCAACTACTGGTAATTCTTCCTTGTTTCCAACTTTTGCATTCCAGTTACCAGTGATAATGAACACTTGATGAAATCTTGATTGCATGTCTGGTTAATTTCAGACTGTAGAAGTTGATAAACATCTTCAATTTCCTCATCTTTGGCTTTGGTGGTTTGTGCGTAAATTTGAATAAGTATTAACTGTAGGCGCATGGATATTATCCTATCACTGACAGCACTGTACTTCATGGTGTTTTTGAAACATCCTTTGTGATGATGAATGCCATGCCATTCCTCTTCAAATTGTCATTCTCAGCATAGTAGACCATATGGTTGTCTGATTCAAAGTGGCCAAAATTGGTCCATTTCAGGTCACTAATGCCTAGGATATCAATCTTTATGTGTTTCATTTCATTTTGACAACTTCCAATTTTCCTAGATTCATACTTCATACATCCCATGTTCCAATTATTAATGTTTGTTCACAGCTGTTTCTCAATTTGAGTCATGCCACATCAGCAAATGGAGGTCCCAAAAGCTTTACTTTATCCATATCATTAAGGTTGATTCTACTCTGATGAGGCAGCTCTTTCCCAATCGTATTCTGAGTGTCTTCCGACCTAAGGGACTTGTCTTCCTGCACCATAGTGGACAATGTTTCAGGGCTATTCATAAAGCCGCCCAGTAATTTATCAGACAGTGTTTCTCTGCTATTCATGAGGTTTTCCCTAGCCAACTCTTTGAGAAGTGGATGGCCTCTTCCTCTTCCTAGTCTGTCTCAGTCTGGAAGTTTCATTGAAACCTGTGCACCATGTGCAATCCTGCTGGCATTTGAAACACCAGTGGCACAGCCTCAAGCCTCACAGCAACATGCAAGCCACCACAGTATGACAAACTGACAGACAAGTTTGTCTTCCTTAGCTGTTTGAAACCTCTCTGTCCTCCCCTTACCTGCATCCTGCCACCTTGTTGTCCTCGGCTTTCCCTCCTTCCTGGTCTCTCAGATATTTACAATTTTTATACTCTTACTTTTACATAGGTTGGGCAATCTACTTCCGTAGTGATATTGCTTCGGAAACCCAAGGAGGGGTTGCTATGAGTCGGGTCCGACACGACAGCACCTAACAACAACAACATGTGTGCTCCTTCCCCAACACACAGAATGCCAGGAAAATGCTCAACATCACTAGCAAATAGGGAAATGCAAGTTAAATCCACAATGAAATACCACTATTCATCCATTCAAAGCAAACTCACTGCCATAGAGTTGATTCTGACTCAGAGCAACCCTCATTGGGTTTCCAATGCTGTAAATCTTTACAGAAGCAGACCTCCTCATCTTTATTCTGTGAGGCGGCTTGTAGGTTCAAACCACTGACCTGGTTATCAGGCAAATGCCTTAAACCATTATACCACATGAGCTCCTATGCATCTACCCACTAGAATGACTAAAATTAAAATGACTGACCATAACAAAGGTGGTACAAATGGAACTCTCATATAATGCTTGTTGTTATTAGCTGCTGTCAAGAGAGCCCTGACTCATAGCAACTCTGAGCACAGAGAGATCAGACCCTTGTGATCCACAGGGTTTTCAGTGGCTGATTTTTCAAAAGTGAATCTCAAGGCACTTCTTCCTAGCATGTCTTAATCTGAAAGCTGTTCAGCATCATAGCAATACGCAATCCTCCACTGACAGACAGGTGGTGGGTGCACTTGAGGTGTGTTAGCCGGGAATTGCACACAGGTCTCCCATATGGAAGGTGTGAATTCTACAACTGAATTACCACTGCCTTCTATATACAGTGCTAATGAAAATGAAAATGGTACAACCCTTGGAAAATATTTTGGCAATTTGTTAAAAATTTAAATACATATCTACCACATGACTTAGTCATTCCACTCCTAGGTATTTACTCAAGAGAAATAAAATCCTATGTCCACACAAAGACTCATTCTAAGCAGTTATATTTATAACATCCCAAACTGGAAAAAAACCCAAATGTTCATTAACCAATGAATTGTAGGATAAATATATAAAAGAACGATATTCAGTAATAAAATGGAATGTGCTCATGATACATATACAACAACACAGACAAAGCTAAATCATGTGCTGGTTGAAAGAAGAAAGGACAACAACAAAGAGCACGTATTGTATGATTCTATTTACATAAAATCATAAAAAACACAAGCTAATCTATGGTGACTGAAGGGTAGATCCTTGACCTTCTGGAGACAGGGAGGTGGGAGTAATGGTCAAATTACAAAAGGGATGAGAATACTTTTAAAGGGAGAGATATGTACATTATCTTAAGTGATGGCTTCACAGATGTTATATATCAAAACTTTTCAAATTATATACTTTATATGAGTATAGTCTATTGTATGTTAATTATACTTCAAGAAATCTGATTAGGAGTTTCCAAGTATAAACTGCTTCAAAAATAAAGATGTGAAAAATAGTTTGAATAATATATATTCATATTTTGTAAATGGAATTAAACAGTACTTTCATTAATTTCTTTAAAAAGAAAAGAAATCTGATTAGGAAAAAAAAACCAATAACCCTATCATAGCACTGTCTCCATCCACCTCATCAACGTACAAATGCTTAAAAGAGATTCCACTGTCTTAACGTCTAAAGACACTAGCTTGAATCGAAAAAATTTTACAAAGTACTAATATTAAAGACACTAGATAAATGATTTGCATGGACAATTTAGCATTGATAAGAGGCAGTTGCCTCACTAAAGTTATCTCATCTGTTCCCTATGTGCCTTCCTCTCCCTGATGGGGCTCAGGAGCTGGCTGTCATTACTCACTGGCAAGGCAGTCATCGATGTCCTCCTCACAGTCCATACCACTGAAGCCTGGAGGGCACTCACACATGTAGCTGCCTGGAGTGTTATGACAGACACCATGGTTCATGCAGGGCCTGGAGACACATTCATCAACGTCTATCATACACCGCTGACCTAGAAATACAGGGGCAATGAATGGCCCAGTCGAAGTTAATTCTCACAGACATCTATGGGTGGCCTAAGCTTCAGCTCGGGTGGACAGGGCTACTTCAGGGACATCCCAGTTGGTCTCTGGGTTTGGAAGTCCCATGAAAAGTATTCTTTCTGGGAAAATTGCTTCCAAGGTACCCCAATTCCCTGTAACACACCCTGGTTTGAGACTCTGAGAGTTGTAGTCTTCTAGCCACTAGGGGGCTCCAAAGACATGCATAATGGAATTTTTGTGTAGGCAGCTTCTGTACAAAATTTGTTGTTGAAGACAATGGGCGGGCCTCAGAAGACCAGGGCCTTCCATGCCATCTGAGAACCTGGCCACTTTGTTTAAAGTTCAGAAGGCATTTTCCCTGGCTTCTCCACCCTCATGTTGTTACCTTTCCAGCCAGGAGTACACAGACAGGTGTAACTCTCAAAATTTGGTGCCTCTTTGCAAACAGCAGCATTCTCACAAGGGTTTGGGGAACAGGGAGCCAATACAGTCTGACAATTTTTGCCTGTAAAGAAAATGACAGAATTTATGATAGAGAACTTGCCAAAGCAGCAGGTATTTCCCCAAATTATATTCCAAAGGATGTTGTCATGGAAGAAGCAGTAAGGAAACCAAACAATTTCCTAAAGACACTAGACTGAAAGATAAAAAGCAATTTAAAATACTAATATTAGAGATACCAGATACATGATTTGTATGAGCAAAATCAGCACTGAGAAGAGGCAGCTGCCTCACGGAGGCCTTCTTTTTTATGTATTGTAACGGGCAAAGCTGTGGCAAAAGATCTCTACAGTTTTAAAAAACTTTGATGATTAAGGCTCATCTAACCCAATCCATGGTCTTTTCAATTTCTGATATGCATAAAAAGTTGGGTAGTGAAAAAAGGAGGACTGAAGAACTGATGCATTTGAATTGTGGCACTGGCAAAGAATATTGAATATACCATGGAATGTCAAAAGAATAAAAAATGAGTCTCAGAAGAAACACAGCTAGAATGTTCCTCAGAGGTGAGAACAGCAAGACATCGGCTCACTTACTTTGGATACAGCATCAGGAAAGGCCAATCGTTAGAAAAGAACATCTTGTATGATAAAAGCAGAAGGTAAGGAAAAATGAAGATTCTCAATGAGATGAATTGATACAACAGCCAAAACAATGGACTCAAACATACCAACAATCATGAAGATGGCCCAAGACTGGGTCATGTTTCATTCTGTCATACATAAGGTCACCACAAATTGGAGTCGACTCAATGGCAACTAACCACCACCATAACAAAGTGTTTAAGAAGCTTTCCAATCTGAGCATTCTCTAATAATTTGAGTCTTGGCTCTGACATTACTAACTACGTGACCTCAGAGAATTTATTTATCCGCTCTGAAGCATCTTCCTAAGTAAAATAGGAATTAAAATAGAACACAACTCACAGAGGCTTTTTGAGGGTTAAATGAAAAAAAAAAAAAAAATTCATACAAAGTCTTTATCCTTGGCATTGAATCTGGCAAGTAGAATGAGTACTCAGTAGCTGTTAGGCAATCATCTTCACTGTTATTATTAGTGTCCAAGGATTTGGACACCTGCATCAGTCAGGTTTCTATACCTCCACACTTAGGATTAGGCCACTCAAAAGCTCAGCCACAGAACCCGTTTTCATACAAGCAAGGAAGAAGTAACATTTATTCATTAAACACTTACTAACCATACTTCTATGTGTTAGAAACGTTATGAAGTTCCTTTGGTGGCAATAACTTTTTGAGGGAGATATCATGTATCCCATTTTAAAGAAGTAAATCAATATGCCCAAGGTCATACAGCTAACTAACATCACAGCTTGGATTCAAATCCAGGTGGTTTTTTTTTTTTGAGGTTTGATCATTTTATTATCATAACCATAAAATTCAAATTTGATAGATGCTTTTTTTTTTTTTCCAGGTTTCTTTGACTCCAGAGTCCACACATTCTCTTCACCTGATGGTGGTTTCCTATCTGTGACCCAAGAGCCTTAGGCTTCTACAGTGGTACAACTGAGGCAATGGGAAGCCAAATCTTGGTGTAGCCCTTACTTTAACCAAAGAAACTCAGCTATTATCTGTTTTATTTATTACATTTCTAGTGAGATTCTGTTTGAAAAAAGGGATCTGCTACTAACAAAAGCTAGCAGTTTGAAACCCACGTACAAACAACCTTGTGAATGCTGAGTGATCTATCATCAAACTATTTTTTAAAATTAATTTTTGTTCAACTCATTCCTCACTTTAATACCTTTTGTTTCTTTCCAAATTTGAGCATTATAATATAAACCATGCTAAAAACAAAAAATGTTGAAAAACTTTGCACTCATTGTTGATGATTGCCTTAAGAAAATTTTCTAAAAGTGATAGTTAGAGCCAAGATTAGTACATTTAAAGGTCTTTTTAAAAACTTCATGTTAACCTGTCCTCCAATGTAACATTTACAGTTTCACAATTATGAACAAAAATGTCACTTCTTGAAATGGAGTTTTTTAATCTATATTAAAAATACTACCTTAAAAAGTTAGAACTGGTTTTTGACTTTCTGATGAATTGGATCTTTTCTTTTTCTGTGCAGCTTAGAGGAGTAGAAAAAGTAGGGGATTTTGGCTCAGAAGACCTGAGCTGAAGTCCAGATGCCAACAATTACTAGCCACCTAACATAACTGGACAAGCTTCTAGGCACCTGTGAACCTGAGTGTCCCACCTGTAAAATGGGACAACCATTTCCTTCCACAGTGGTTATGATAATGAAATGCTAGTGAATGTGAAACATTTTGGAAACTATAAATCAGCTAGTAAAGGCCAGCCACTTAAGATTGACTTATCTCCGCCCCCACTTTTTAAAATATTCAAATTCACCTCAGCACGGCTAATAAAATAAACTTTTCAAATAAACTGCCTCAAGAAACAAATGTACATACAAAAATTTGCTCCTAGTAGACATGGTTCTTATCTTTTATTAATATCAAAATTATGTTATTATCAGAGTTACTGTGGTTTCATGCATCCAAAGTAACCAAAAGCCATGAACTTCATTTAAAAAAAAAGGAAATTCAGTATGCTAAAGATAAGCCTGTAGCAAAAAAAAGAAAAAAAAAAAAAAAAGAAAAATTCACAGGAAGTATGATTTTATTAAAAGGGAGCAGTTGCTTTTAAGGTCAAGTCACAACTAATTCAATTTTAAATATCAATCTAAAATTTTATATTCAGAAAGAAAAAATAAGTGACCATAATTTTTCACTAAACTCTCCAACCAGTTTTGCATGTGTTTGGTCAAAAAAAGTGCTTACAAAGGAAAAGCAACATTGCTTAGCTCTCTGCATGCTGGGCAAACTCAGTGCAGCTTGGAACCCTAAGCCACACTCAGCACTGAAATTTCAACCTGCCGGGACTTTCAGTCAGGTAGAATTGCTCAAAGTTCACACACAGTACATTATTTCAGTTGGGATCCTTCTCTAAAGACAACAGCCTGCATATACTCAAATGTGCTTACAGTATAGGAATAGTGTGATTGAAAAAAAAAATATACCTAAGCCACATTCAGGTAAGCTTTATGATGTAAATGAGCACGATGATACCTGCTTATACCTCTCCATAACCACCAATTCCTAATCTTTATTGTTGTAAATGAGATAATCTCACTACCAACAATTGTGATCAGCATTGTGACTATGGGATGGTACTATTTATACTATCTTGCTTTGGGGTGAAAGGAGCCCTGCTGGCACAGTGGTTAGTTAATCACTCAGCTGCTAACCAAAAGGTTGTCAGTTCGAATCCACCCAGTGGCTCCATGGGACAAAGACCTGGTGATCTTCTTCCATAATGATCACAGCCTAGGAAACCCTCTGAGGTAGTTCTACTCTGTCTCATCAGGTTACTAAGAGTTGGAATTGACTCAGTGGCACACAACAACAGCCTGGGGATAGGTAGGGACTGCCTATATCTGTGAGACTTTATGTACCATGCCGGCTAAATGCAGTTTCCCTACATCAACATTTCTTCTGAAGAGGGGCAAAGGTGAAAGGTAGCAAAAGTTGAATGTTGCATCCAAGCCGTTCAGGTAACAGAGTAATGCTGTTGTTCATTCTGCTACTCTAAACAGTTTACAGTCAGTATTACCAGCTACTGCACTGCTATGCTTAAGACTCCAGGCAAGTAATAACAGCCATGCTGCTGCTTACTACATGCTATGCTCTAGTGAAACATGGGAAAGCCACATATATGTTTCTGTTTTGTTCCTGATGGATGAAGAAAATGGAAGACAAAGAGGAAAACAAGCCATAGAATTACAACCAATCATAAAATGGCAATAAAGCAAGGAAAAACAAAGAAATGTCTCATGCACACTCTAAAAATAGCACCTGAAACAAAGAACACTTGATGTGAAATGAAGTCACAACTCTGTCTTGTGTGTGTGTAAAAGTAATCCAAGGGGCAATACCTCTCTGGTTACGGTACTGAATATGAAGTACAGAATAGAAGTTAAAAGAGACACTTAGGGGCAAATCCTAGATTTACTACTTACCTATGTGACATTAAGCAAGTAATCACTCTTTGCCTCAGTTTCCTCATGTATAAAATGTTGACTGATGTGAGCACTAGACTGAATAATCCAATGTATGTAAAGTGTCTGGCACCTAGTAAATTATCAATATATGGTAGTTGTTTTACTACTGAAACTAAGGAACTAATAAGATTAAGAGTGTAGGTCATGGATACATTCAAATGATAGATTAAACCATCAGCTATGTATCATGTTAAAAATTTAAAACCATTTTAAATCCTCAAGTACAAAGAAGACAAGTGGGTTATGCCACCGCTTGCATCATAGGAGGTTGCAATGTTTTCTCAAAGCTCAAGATCTAGTCAGTGAGGTCAAGAAGGGCAACCAGGGAGTGAGTCCTTGGAAGCTTATCATCGCCTCACTGACATGCAATAGTAAGACTCAGATACTCTGACTGAAGAGACAAGCATCTGCTTGGTCCCTGCTTGGCACCTGCAGGACCCACCTGTGTATGGGAGCACACAGTGGCAAGTGTAGCCACTTATGTCATCAGAGCAGGTTCCTTCGTTCAGACATGGATTTGAAGCACACTCATCAATATTCACCTGACAGTTATGGCCTGCAGATAGAAAAGGGGAAAAACAAAAACAGAGTGAAACTTTCTGTTAGTGTCTTCATTATTTCGATGATTAACCAATGCTCTTGATGGTAAAAATGAAACACTTCAGATAGTGCATTAATTTCTTCCGGCTACTAGGACACCTAAGTATTCTTTCAGTGACAAGTCCATGACCCACAGTCAGTCAGTAAATGACAGGGGTCCATCAGTCAAAAGGCTGACAGTATATTCACAGGCCTGAAAGTCTTATGCACCTGCAAATACAACTGCTTTCTCAAAAAAGGACAGAAAAGTTTATAAAAGGGAAAAAGCCTACTGCTTGGTCCAAAAATAAGCCCCTTTCAATGCAAAGTATGATGGAGTCCCTGGGTGGCACAAATGGTTTTAAGTGCTCAGCTACTAACCAAAAGATTACTAGTTTGAACCTACCCAGTGGTGCCTGGCAATCTGCTTCTGAAAAATCACAGCCATCAAAACTCTATGGAGCATACATAGGGTTGCCGTGAGTTGGGATCAACTGCACAGCAATGGGCACATATACAAAGTATCTGGTCAGGACAAGGAATGACTTTTCCAAATATATTAATCAAAGCCTCTGATTTATGCCCACACCTTTATATGCAAGTTTCTATTACTTATATGGTACTTCCTGAAATCACAAAACTGTTTTTTTTTTTTTTTTTACAGATCCAAGGCAAGAAATCTACTCCCACAACAAAAAGGAGAGAAGTACAGAAGGATTGGTGGGGATAGAGCAGTACACAAATACTAGACGTCTTTACATCTTCAACAGGGCCAGCATAGAGCCTTACAACACAGAAGTACAGTATTTTCTCTAGAGAAAATGAAGCCTAGGAGGCCTGTGGTCAACTTGTTCTCTGCTGCCCAACAGCTGGGGGACTTTAGGTGGGGCATTTAGATTCTTACTTTGCTCATGTAAGTATAAATGAGATAAAGAGCTCTTTTAAACCTGTAAGTTTCTACGCAAATATAATGTAGTAACAGCAGAAAATTAATGACTGAAGTATGGGGTCAAAAAATTTTCAAGTCATCAAATTAAGTAGCTCTGAAATATACTGATGTATCACAGTTGCCTGGCATAGAAATTGTGAGTGGGGAAATAAATAAGTGAACACATGAATACAAAAATAAATTATTTACCTATAAATTTCTTTCTCCTGAGTTTCCAAAAGAAAATTAATGATAGAAACACAATAGTGACAACTCAAAAAATGATTTTACATAATTCTCTCTACATGTTTTTCTAGAAGACTACACGTGACTATGTATCTAAGACTATCTCAGTATGTAAGAAAGTTTGGTGAAAGGGCTCTGAACACATGGATTCTTCCATGTTATTATTGCTATACAATGTTAGTGAGTACAACATATTTATCATAGTTCCTTATTTCTCTTTTGAATTTTCATAGAACACACTTTCCAAGAAGCTTAGGATTAGAATACTTGACCAAAACTCTCTAAATTGAATCTTAGCTATCCATCTTAAATAGTGCTGTTTCAACAGCTCACCTCTCTGCTAGACTGAAGGTAGAACTCATATCTACTGATGTTTGCTCTATGAATGAATAGGCAAAAGGAAACAACAACAACAACAAAAAAAAAACAGCCAACAGGAAGGCAAAGAAGGGAGGTAGGAACATGCACTTTTGCTTTTACCTTTAAAGCCCTTCTTGCAAGTACACCTATAACCATTCACCAGATTGTCGCAAGTTCCTCCATTCTGGCATGGGTTAGAAAGGCACTCGTTTTTGTCCACTTCACAGTTGATGCCAACCCAACCTGCGTCACAGAGGCACTTGTATCTGAAAGAAGATAGAATTATTTACTGTTGGAGGTATGACTGTACCGGTTGAGTCACAGAGAAAAATATAGGACTTGGTGAAGAACTGAGAGGACAGAGGAGCCCATGGGTAAGTAATCTTATTTCTATTCTTCTATGCACCTCTACTTGGATCATCATTGCACATGATGTGAATTATGTGGGTCCATCTAGTATACTCAGTTAAACAACCACCTGGTACTTCCTTGACTCACCAAACACTAGAGAAATTAATGAATTATAATCAGCTTTCATATACAAAGAATGGCTCTGGTAGTATAGTCATTACAGCATTTGGCTGCTAACCAAAAGTCTGGCAGTTCAAACCCATTAGCCACTCTACAGAAGAAAGATGAGGCAGTCTGCTTTCATAAAGATTTACAGCCTTGGAAACCCAATGGACAGCTCTACTCTGTCCTATAGGGTTGCTATGAGTTGGAATGGCCTTGACAGCAATGTGTTGGTTTTTTTGTTTTATATCTGAAGGAAAGAACACAGATAAACTTGTATGGCTCCTTTACTTACATATAAAATTAAAGTAAAAGTAAACCTTAGAATCATTTGTTTCTAGTATAAAATAGACATCAAGGAAAGATGTCAGTACCAGGAACTCTAAGCTACTCTAAGGAGCTCCTGAGATGTCTGCCTTCCGAATCATGCTTTGTCCTGACCTAAAATCCTGGTTCAGGAAGCACTGGGGTACTGAGCAGCAAAAAGAACACAAATGAAGGTATTTGAAATATGTGTTTATCATTTTCAATTTGAACATCATCTGCACTTAGTATATGCTAACACAAGATGATAGCCTACCTGTCTAGAGATTTTTAAGAATAAGGTAGATGGTTTGGGATGCTTTAGAAATCAGCCACACTCTGATAGAAGAATACTGAGTTAATTAACTTTGGAAACAAATCTATTTTCTGTTTATCTCTAAATATACTCTTTATTCTTAAACCTGCTGGAAGTTCAGCAAATGGCAGTGCCCAGAGCTGAGTTCTGTGGCAAGCAGAGCAAGAATGTAAGACTACGTTACAGAACCTAAGGTCATAACCTGTGATTCAAGACACTTAACTGCCAAAGTATCACACAGTGCTATTGCTGCTGTTGGGTGCTGTCGAGTTGGTTCCAACTCATAGCAACCCTACGTATAACAGAACGAAAAACACCCCGGTCCTGCGCCATCCTCACAACTGTTGCTATATATAAGCCCACTGTTGTAGCCACTGTGTCATTCTGTCTCACTGAGGGCCTTCTTGTTCACTGACCCTCTACTTTACCACACATGATGCCTTTCCCTAGGACATCCTAACTTGCTCCCTCCTAATAACATGTTCAAAGTATCTAAGACAAAGTCTTGCCATCCTCACTTCAGGAGCATTCTGGCTGTACTTCTTCCAAGACAAATTGGTTCATTCTTCTGGCAGTTCACGGTACATTCAATATTCTCCACCAACACCCTAACTCAAATGCATCAATTCTTACTCAGGCTCCTTATTCATTGCCCAGCTTTTTTTTTTTTTTTTTAAGTTGTGATTTGGGTGAAAATTTACAGAGCAAAATCATTTTTTACATAGCAGTTGATACAGATTTTGTATCATGACACTGACTGCAATTCCCCACAATGTAACAGCTCTCTTCCTACTTCTTCCCTGTGTCCTTCCCTCCCATGTACTCCTGTCCCCTTGTGCAAACAATGCACTTCTGTTCTCCCATGACTGATCACTCCAAGGAATGTATCTACCTGATGTAAATGTTCACCCCATATGCCTGTCTACTGTTTGACAGGAAGCCACAAGAGTGAGTTCAGTTCCAGACCTGAAGGGTAACTAGGGAACACAGTTTCAAGGGTCTCACCAGGCTTTATCAGACCAGCAGAACTTTTTTTTTTTAAAAAAATGATTTTGAGTTTTGTTCTGCATTGTTTTCTTACTCTATCCAGGATCTCCTGTACCAATCCCCCTCCAAATGGTTGGCATTGATAGCTGGGCACCATCTATCTAGTTCTGGTCTCATGGTCATCTAGACTGAGGATCACCTGGTCTACTAGTTTCTTAGACTAATTGTTTACATATTTCTTTGATTTTTTTCTTTGCTCTGGATGAGGAGAGACCCATTAATGCATCTAGTTGGCCACTTGTAAGCTTTTAAGACCCCAATCCCTACTCACCAAAGTAGGATCTAGAACAATGTTTTTATGTTATATGTTATGCCAATTGAGCTTGTCCCCTGTGACCATGGTCCTGAGCCCACAGGTCCAATTACCTGCTCCCTCAGTGTAGCTGGCTGTGGCCAAGAAGCCACCACAACCTTGTCCCTTGTCAGCTCTCCTATACACCTGGGCATTCTTACAGCACATACAAATATGCTTGTAGAAATAATGCCTGCCAACCCTATACATGGTCATTGGCATACTCCCCACTGCCCAGACAAACTTGATCATTCAGCCTGTCCACCCATCTACCCACCCATAGGTCAATGCTTGCCATCACTGACAACACAGTACTATACATGTACTGGGTTCATCTTTGTTGTCTGTACCTCTTTATGTCTTCCTCTTTCTCAATGTCACTATGTTGATCACTCACTTTTGGTATACTGCCCTTCCCTTCACCCAAATCAGTACTTGTCTCTACCTATCTAGCAGTGTTCCCGCCCTTCCCCTCCCATCCCTAGTAATCAACAAAGAAAGCTTCTGTCCATATATAAACCTTCCCTTGACTTTTCATAATAGTGTCCTTCTGTGATTGACTTATTTCACTCAGCATAATGTCCTCCAAGCTTATCCATGTTATGTGGTGTTTCACAGATTCTACATTATTCTTTAGTGTTGCACAGTATTCCATTGTGTGTATGTACCATAGTTTGGTTATCCATTCTTCTGTTGATGGGCACTTAGGTTGTCATTGTCCAGCTTTTGCATGCATATGAGGTGATTAAAAATACCATGGTTTGGGACAGACACACCTTAATTCTCAGTGACATCTTTGCTTTTGAACACTTTAAAGATGTCTTTTGCCAGATTTGCCGAATGCAATACATTTGATTTCTTGACTGCTTCTTCTATGGGTGTTGGTCGTGGATCCAAGTAAAATGAAATCCTTGACAACTTCAATCTTTTCTCTGTTTATCATGATGCTGCTTATTGGTTCAGCTGTGAGGATTTTTGCTTTATGTTTACATGTAATCCATACTGAAGGCTGTACTCTTTGATCTTCATCAGTAAGTGCTTCAAGTCCTCTTTACTTTCAGCAAGAAAGGTTATGTCATCCGCATACTATAGGCTGTTAATGAGTCTTCTTCCAATCCTAATGCTGTGTTCTTCTTCACATAGTCTAGTTTCTTGGATTATTTACTCAGCATACAAATTGAATAAGCATGGTAAAAGGACACAGTCTTGGCACACATCTTTCCTGATTTTAAACCATGCAGTATCCCCTTGTTCTGTTCCAATGGCTGCCTCTTGGTTCCACGAGCACAATTAAGTGTTCTGGAATTCTCATTCTTCCTAATGTTGTCCAAAATTTCTCATGACCTTTGCATAGGCAATAAAACACTGGTAGACAACTTTCTGGTATTCTCTGCTTTCAGTCAAGATCCATTTGACATTAGCACCGATATCCCTTGTTCTATGTCCTCTTTTGAATCTGGCATGAATTTTGTTAGTTCCTTGCAGATGTACTGCTACAACTGTTTCTGAATTATCTTCAGAAAAATTTTACGTGCATGTGATTTTAATATTGTTTTATAATTTCTGCTTTCTTTTGCAACACCTTTCTTTAGAATGTGCAGAGATATGTCAGCTGGCCAGGTAGCTGTCTTCCAACTTTCTTGGCATTACAGACAAGTGAGAGCTTCCAGCATTGCACCCATCTATTGAAACATATTAGTGGGTATTCCATCAATTTCTGGCACCTTGTTTTTCACCAGTGCCTTCAGTGCAGTTTGGACTTCTTTGTTCAATAGCATTGGTTTTTGATCAGAGGCAACCTCCTGAAATTGTTGAACATCCACCAGTTCTTTTTGGGACAGTGACACTGTGTATTCCTTCCATCTTCCTTTAATGCTTCCTACATCAATCAATATTTTGCCCATAGAATCCTTCAATATTGCAATTTGGACCTTGAACTTTTTCTTCAATTATTTCAGCTTGAGAAATGACGAGAATATTCTTCCCTTTTGGTTTTCTAAATCCAAGTCTTTGTACATTTTATTATAATACTTTACTCTGTCTTCTTGAGCTGCCCTTTGAAAACTTCTGTTCAGCTTAGTTAATCATTTCTTCCATCCACTGTAGCTACAGTACTTTCAAGAGCAAGTTTCAGAGTCTCTTCTGACATTCATTTTGGTATTTTCTTTCTTTCCTGTATTTTTTAACAGCATTTTGCTTTCTTCACGTATGACGTCCTCAATGTCATCCTACAACTCATCTGGTCTTTGGTCATTAGTATTTAATGCATCAAATTATTCTTGAGATGGCCTCTACTTTGGCTCTTGTAGACTTATTTTAATTTTCTTCACCTTCACCCTGAATTTGCGTATGAACAGTTGATGGTCTGTTCTGTAGTTGCCCCAGCCTTGTCATGATTGATGAAATAGAGCTTTTGAGGGGCAATCTACAAATATTTTATCAGGGATATGTCTAAAATAAGCTGACACTGCTTATTTACTTCAATTTATTTACTTATGCTTACTTCAGCAGCAAGGAGCTCTGGTAGCGTAGTGCCTAAGGCACTTGACTGCTAACCACAGGGCTGGTGGTTCAAACCCACCAGTCACTCCTCGGAAGGAAGATGGGGCAATCTATTTCTGAAGTGATACTGCCTCGGAAACTGAAGGAGGGGCTCCTATGAGTCGGGTCCAACTCAACGGCACATAACAACAACACTTCAGCAGCACATACTGGTACTGCACTAGAACTGAATTGAGCTATTTTTAAGCAGATGGAAAGAATAAGAGACTACGATTCCTCACAACTTAATCCTGTAATAAGTATGAAAAACACAATTGTCAAAGATCGTAAAATAACCCTGAACTCCTCCCAGGAAGTCTTCACTGCCTACCTGGGTAAGGAAGACATTCCCCCTTATTTTCTACATAGGTTCTTAGTTGCAGCAAGTAGACGGCCAACTTCCATGGGTGAAGTTGTGATTTTGAAGGCCTTGATACAGACTACCAAAATCTTTGGCCAAGCCACAGCTCAAGTTTCTGACTGATTTCTACAGGTTATTTCCAGTAATAAAAATCAACTGGCTTGACAAAGGTCAGTAAGAAACCACTAACACATGGCAGTTACTCACCCGCTGAGGCCGCCAGTGCAGTTTCCGTGGACGCAGGGATTGCTCAGGCACTCATTCACCTGAGAATAGCAGCTGGGGTGATGGGGTCCCTCGGGGCATATACAGCGAAAACTGTTCACATCGTTGATACATGTGGCACCTTTCCGACAGGGATTGGAGGCACATTCATCAATGTCAATGTTACATCTCTGCCCTGGAGAGAGGGGGACACTTGAGTCAAATCCAAAATGCTCAGGGAAGAGACACGGAACTATGAGACATACTCTGTTGACATTCTTCATCTGCACAGACTGTAAGATACCTACCTGGGTCACCAAATGCCAAGATTTAAGGAATGAGATACTCAATAGCACTTAGCTCCTGGCAAGGAAAGGAGCAAACATCATTTTCTTTTGATAATGAAGGAAAGTTAATGAATGATGTAACAGTGTTGCAGCATTTTGACAAGTACTTCTTTCTTCACTTCACCTTAGAAGCAGGGAAACTTTATAAGGTTTCAAAGGGAGAACAGCAAATATTATCACAGATAACTTCTCCTTTTCATGCTATTCTGAGAACTCTCAGAGAAACCTTTCTTACCATGGCTTTCTGCTGGTTTATCACTAATTTATTTTTCAGTTACTCAATCTCTTATATTTTTATAAATTATAAATCTCAATTAACTGGAATGCTTAGAGACTGAACTATTAATTTACTTATTGAACTGGTTAAACAGAAAAGCTACTAGTTTTCATTCTTAAGAGGTGGAGTAATCCATTTTCTGTATTTAATCCATAAATGGAGTACACCAAGCATACTTTTATTGTCCTCTGATGATTCAGATGACAATTCAGAGTTTCTCAGTCTACATTAGTAATTCTCAAACTTCAACATGCAAAGAAGTTCACTTGTTTTAAATGGAGATTCTTAGTCCTATTACCATAGATTGTTACCCACATTTTAAAAAATGCAAGTGGCTCAAAGTCCACATTTTGAGAAACTCTATAAAGTCATCACTTCTCATCATATAGCACTGTAGATGCTGAGAGTATAGGAAATTGAGATGAGTATGTTCTAAGACACACCTAAAAAGTATACTTTTGAAAAGATGTGTATATGAGCTTGATTAACTTCAAGCTGGTTAAAGTACAATGTGCTGCTTATGTAAGAATTTTTCTTTGCTAGGTTCTGAATATTGAAACTTAACTGTATAGTCCCAGACCATATAAAATTTTTAAATTACCCATAATTCTGTAAATGAATGGCAACAAGCATCTGCTATGAAGAAATTAACAAATTTCAAAGAATACAATGTTCTGATTTAGATAAAAACATGTATTTTTACTTAAAGAGCAACCTTGTGTTTAGAACAGGAAATTTCAAATGAATAGATACATACTCCCTTAAAGTATGGGTATTAACATTTTTTACCCTTCACTGCTCTAGAAACCATTATTGGTGGTTCTTGTGGTAAAGACCCATAATCTGCTAGTGGTTGCTGCTTTCAAAGGTGTTTTATTAAGTTATTTAAAAATCCTATTTTGTTGGTCTCCACCTCTGATATTTTGAGATGTTTGCCACTGGCCCAAGAGAGGAACCACAGCTCTTGGACTACAAAGCTATCCTCAATATGCAATCCAGTGGAGGACGAGAGGAAAAAGCCACCTTTGTTTTCAGTCCTTTTTTGAAAGCATCTTCTCAGCAGCACTCCTCTCAAGTTTTCTTTACTTGTTTTTAAAATCCTTTCAAAAAAATTTTCAAGTCATCTTTATCAGAGAACATTTATTAAATGCCTCTTTGTGCAATCTTCTGTTTGGAGTGATAGTGTCTTGATTCTCTAATGCTGCTTAACATAAATACCCCAAGTGGGTGGCTTTAACAAACAGCAATCTATTCTGTCACAGTTTAAGAGGCTAGAAATATGAGTTCAGGGTGTCCACTCCAGGGGAAGGCTTTTCTGTCGGCTCTGGAGGAAGGCCTCTGTCTCTTTTCAGCTCTGCTCTTCAGTCCCTTGGTGATCTTTGTGTGGCCTGGCATCTATCTTCCCCCATCTCTGTTTCTTTACTCTGTTTTTTTATATCTCAAAAGAGACTGATTTAAGACACACTCAACATTAATACTACCTCATTAATATGACAAAGAAAATCCATTCCCAAATGGGGTTATTACCACAGGTATTCACTGCTATCGAATTGATTCTGACTCATAGTGACCCTCATTGGGTTTTAGAGGTGATAAATCTTCGTAGAAGTAGATTGCCCCATCTTCTTTCCATGGAGCAGCTAATGCGTTTGAACAGCTAACCTCCTGGTTAGCAGTCAAATGCCTTAGGTACTGCATCACCAGAGCTGCTTAACTATAGGTACGGGGGTTAGAATTTACAACACATATTCTGAGGGATATAAATTCAATCTATAATGAATAGTTACTTCCCTAGCAAGGTCCTACCCTTAAGGAGTTTCCATCCAGTATCAGAAACATCCAGTACAAGGCTATAGACACTTTGTTGGCCTCAGTAACTATTAAAATGAGAAGTTGAACCAATGTTCTTGCATAATCTATAAGCTGGTTTTTAATGAATGAAAGCAAAGTATAGTCCAGCCTCTACAGTCTGTAATTGAATGTCAAAAGTCCCATATTTGAGTTGTTATTTAATGAATTAATTCAGCAACATTTAATGCATGTTTCCTCTGTGCTAGACACTGTTTTTATACACTAGGTAAAATGATGATTAAGGGAGGTCCCTGCCTTCTAGAAGTCACAGTCCTAGTTATGTGGCTGCCAACCTGAAATCATGTACATATCAACCTCTGTCTCTCAGTTTCCTTATTTGTTACGTGAGGATAATATGATTAAGCACTCAGCTACTAACTGAAAGGTCTGTGGTTTGAATGCACCAGCCACTCCGTGGCACAAAAACCTGGTGATCTGCTCCCATAAAAATTATAGCCGTGGCAACTCTATGGGGCAGTTCTACTCTGACCTATAGGGTCACTAAGAATCGTAATCAACTCAATGACAACAACTACAATAATACCACCTATGTTTTGGACTGATGAAAATTCAGCAACATAATGGGTAACACAGTGCTTTGTAAAACTGAAAAGCTGTTTCTAGAAGCAGCGTATGATTTTTAATCAACCAATGTAAAGTGGTCCTGAGTGAACAGGGAATTTAGATTAAAAAACAACCCCCAAAATTCCTTCAAATTCCAAGTTGTTACTAAAATGGTACAAAACAAACAAACAAAAAACTATTAAAGTAAAATTTAAAAAGGGAAAGAATAAAATGCCACATTTACTGCTCATAAGTATATATACCTCAGGCATATGATATTTTCAGCAGCTGATAAAAAATTAAAAAATAAAAGCACTCTCAGATATAGAAAACAGTACAGTTCCAAGAACAGGGTACCACCCAGTAACCAAAACATTCCATTTCTTGGTTATGCAGTTTCATGCTACACCTTAAGTTTATTTTAGAATATTTTTAGCTGTGTCCTCCCTTCTTGACCTTCCTTGTTTGCTAAATGTTAAAAAAAGACAGAGTATGTCTCACTGGCATTTCCAAAAAAAATAAGTCCAGTTGAAGGCTTACATAAATCCAAAAAAAAAACAAAAAACAAAAAAACCACAGCAGGCACTACTTAGGCTCTACAGTGTGGCAGTCCTGAGTAGTACTTGGAGTCAAACCCCATGGGCTGGATTCCTGGCTGAAGTGCACTGGTAACTTTACTTCACTTTGCTAAGCTTTTCCTATCTCAGCAACACCATAGTGATGTTAATGGCAGTGACAATTAAATGAGATGAGGTGCTTAACTGCTACTTGTAAGGTTAGCCTCACATGCATGCAAACACCAGACAATGAATAAGGAAGACTACAGAAGAACTGATGTATCTGAATCGTGGTGTTGTTGAAGAATACTGAATATACCACTGCCAGAAGAACAAACAAATCTGTCTTGGAAGAAATACAGCCAGAATGCTCCTTGTTGTTACGTGCCATCAAGTCAGCTCTGACTCACAGCGACCCCTCCTTGGGTTTCTGAGGCAGTATCACTACAGAAGTAGATTGCCCAACCTTCCTTCCGAGGAGTGGCCTGTGGGTTTGAACCACCAGCCTTCTGGTTAGTAGTCAAGTGCCTTAGGCACTATGCTACTAGAGCTCCCAGAATGCTCCTTAGGAAGCGTAGTCAGACTTTGTCTCTTGTACTTTGGTCATGTTATCAGGAGGGACCTGTCCCTGGAGAAGGATATCATGCTTGGTAAAGCAGAGGGGCAGTGAAAAAGGGGAAGATCCTCAATGAGATGGATTAACACAGTAGCTGCAACAACGGGCTCAAGTACGGCAATGATTGTGAGGACGGAATAGGACCAGGTACAGGACCTATGTTATACACACGGTCTCTATGAGTCAGAGCTGATTCAATAGCACCTAGCAATAGGCACTTAAATTAGTGCTGACTTAAAAATGAGACCATAATAAAAATAAAAATGTTAGCTATTATCTTCTTCTTACGCATTCAATAATGCTACACCTATCATTTTATTTAGCAGGAATTTTGGTGCACTCAGTTAACTGTCACTTAATCTTGGAGTAACGAGTTTCAAGATACAAAAGTCTATCTTGTGACCACAGCAGCACTGGGTACTAGGCATGAAGGCTTTCATCATACCTGGTTTGTGAGTGAACCACTGAACAGGGATTGCTGTGACCCAATATAGGCCACAAACATTCTTCTCTAGTGGGCACAATCATGTCAAGCAGGAGAACACGAGTGACTGTGGCATACAGAAGAAAGTAAGTCCTCAATAAGCAAATGGCAGACATTCACTTTAGTTGGCTCTAGATGACTTCTGACAGTTTCAAAAGCTCAGAAGGAAGTTTCTCATATAGGTTGAAAATGACCATATGGTAATTATTAAATGGCAACGTCATTGTGTTAGTGCCTGCCTGCGTGTGGCACTGTGGCACTGTACAAAAAGAACAGGACAGTGTATGCCATCCAATGGTGCTATTAACAAACTCAGGTTTCCTCTCTAGTCTCTAGTACTTTTTGATCAGGAGGGTAAAAGATAATTGTAATACTATCGATAACACAAGTGAGAAGAGAGATGTGTGTGAGTGGCTGTGTGCTCGAGTGAGTGAGTGAGTGTGTGTGTGTGTGTGTGTGCACGCGCTTTGTTGTCAGATGCTGTCAAGCTGTCTCTGACTCATAGAGACCCTGTGTACAGCGGAACAAAACACTGCCTGGTCCTGTTCCAGCCCCATGATCTTTGCTATACTTGAGCCCATTGTTGTAGCCACTGTGTCAATCCATCTTGTTGAGAGCCTTCCCCTTTTTTGTTGACCCTCCATTTTACCAAGCATGATATTCTTCTCCAGGGAATGGTCCCTTCTTACAACATGATCAAAGTAAGTAAGACAAAGTCTGGCCATTCTCACTTCCAAGGAGCATTCCAGCTGCACTTCTTCCATGACAGATCTGTTAGTTCTTTTAGCAGTATTGGTACTTTCAGCATTCTTCACCAGCACCACAACTCAAAAGCATCAACTCTTTTTTGGTCTTCCTTATTCATTGTCCTGGGAGCTCTGGTAGCATAGTGCCTAAAGCACTCGACTGCTAACCAGAAGGCTGGCAGTTCAAATCC